CTCGTCGGCGATCCCCTTCTCCTATGCGTCGTAGACTACCTCCTGAGGAGGGAAACTAATCAGTGCAGTTCCAGAGGCAAGAACTGCAACTTCTGCGCAATTATCAAGGCCTCCATTTTCGCCGTAAAATGTTGTTGATGTCAATGTTGAGGGAGTCACCACACAAGCGTTAATTGATACTGGGGCTGCCGTTTCTGTGATGAACGCAAAATTTTGTCGCAAACTGAAGAAAGTGACCACATCTCTCTGTGGCATCGTGCTGTCCACGGCTAGCGCCCTCGGCTGTGTGTACGGCGCGCGTCGTCATCCAAGACGTTTTGTACATCGTCCAATTTTTCGTACTATCATCTTGCTCTCATGACCTCATCCTGAGTTGGGATTTCTTATCACGTCATGAAGCTATCATCGATTGTTGCCATGCGGAAGTGTCCCTAGTGCCAAGTTGTGAATTTCCATCGCCCGACCATTCACCTCTGCTCTGCAAACTCATCGCTGACGACGACATCACCTTGCCTCCGGAAGCTTCAGTCCCTATTAGCCTTTCATGTGTGGTGCAACCTGACGCCACGGTGGTGTTCACGCCATCTCCTGTTTTTACTGAACGCAAGGGCATCGTGCTCCCATATGCCGTTCTTACAATTGCGTCTGGTTTAACCGTAATGCTGGTTACCAACCACTGCAACTACCCCATTGTCTTACTGCGTGGTGAAACAGGATATGTACTACCTGTCGACCTTATCGATATTATTCTTCCCGACGAATCCCCATCTCGCATTGCCGCGTCTGAGCCATCAAGCTCGCCAGCCTTCGACAATGCTATTGACGCAGACCTTCCCCCCTCGCATCGCAGCCAACTTGTTGCTCTCCTTAACAAGTTTCGCTCTTCTTTCGACTTTCAGAAACCTGCTTTGGGCCGCACCACGACTGTCACTCATACTATTGACACCGGCTCACATTCGCCTCTGCGACAGCGTCCTTACCGTGTTTCTGTAGAAGAGTGCCGCGTCATTACGGAGCAAGTAGATGACATGCTTAAACGTGGAGTCATACAGCCTTCTCAAAGCGCTTGGTCGTCACCCGTGGTTCTGGTAAAGAAAAAAGATGGCACCGTTCGATTTTGCGTGGACTATCGCCGCTTAAACAAGATTACAAAGAAAGATGTCTACCCGCTACCACGAATAGACGATGCTCTTGACTGTTTACAAGGCACCGAGTACTTTACATCCTTGGATCTGCGTTCTGGGTATTGGCAGGTGCCAATGGCTGAATGTGATCGCCCTAAAACAGCCTTTGTAACACCGGATGGGCTATATGAGTTCAAAGTAATGCCATTTGGGCTCTGCAACGCGCCTGCGACGTTTGAGCGCATGATAGATACCATATTGCGTGCCCACAAGTGGAAAACTTGCTTGTGTTACCTAGATGACATCGTTGTCTTTTCAGCTGATTTCCCGACACATCTTCGTCGTCTCCACGAGATTCTGACGTGTCTAGTTTCTGCAGGCCCACAACTTAACACCAAGAAGTGCCACTTCGCAGCCCGAAAACTAACCATCTTGGGACACGTCATCGTGTTCCAAGATGTTCTTCTAGTGTTCTTCCGGATCCCAATAAGCTTCAAGCTGTCGCTGACTTCCCAATGCCCACATCACTGAAAGCCCTAAGAAGTTTCGTTGGTCTGTGCTCTTACTTTCGTCGCTTCGTGCGCCACTTCGCGTCCATCATCGCACCTCTGATTAGTCTGCTTTCCAACAGCAAAGGTATATCTGCATGGTCACCTGCATGTGACGACGCATTTCGCCAGCTGCGCCGCCTGCTAACCTCATCACCTATTCTACGCCACTACGATCCCACTGCAGCCACAGAAATTCACACTGATGCAAGTGGCGTTGGTCTTGGCGCAGTTTTGGCACAACGGAAAGGCACCCAAACCGAATGCGTAGTCGCTTATGCAAGTCACGTTCTCAAGAAGGCTGAATTGAATTACTCCGGGACAGAGAAGGAGTGTTTGGCCATAATCTGGGCGCTTACGAAGTTTCGCCCGTACCTTTACGCGGCCGTCCTTTGGACGTGGTCACAGACCACCACGCTCTATGTTGGCTGTCCACCTTGAAAGACCCGTCCGGACGTCTGGGGTGTTGGGCACTTCGATTGCAGGAATACGACATCCGTGTCGTATATCGTTCCGGTCGCAAGCATGCGGACGCCGATGCACTTTCCCGATCGCCATTAACACCAGATGTGGCTTCTCTGTCACCCCCTTTTACCACCTTGTCACCACTCGACACCACTGACATGCTTTCGGAGCAGCGTAAAGACCCATACCTTGCCTTGTTAGTCGACTACCTTACTTATCCGTCTGCTGTCCCTTCGAGGAGAGCGCTATGCCGGCAAGCAGCCCACTTTTTCTTACGAGACAACATTCTGTACCGCCGCAACTACATGCCTGGTGGTCGAAAGTGGCTTCTTGCTGTCCCAACTCATATGCGCTCTGACATCTGCATGCATTTCCATGCAGATCCCCAAAGTGCTCACGCGGGTGTCCTGAAAACCTACGAAAGGCTGCGCCAACGATATTATTGGCGAGGGATGTATCGCTTTGTGCAGAAATACGTTCAGTCTTGCACCACTTGCCAACAGAACAAGACACCTCCGCGGCACCTTACTGGCATGTTACAGCCGCTCCCGTGCCCGGCTCGCCCATTCGACCCCGTGGGTATTGACCTCTATGGCTCCCTCCCATATAGTAGCTCTGGAAATCGGTGGATTATTGTCGGAGTCGATCATCTTACACGCTACGCTGAGACTGCGGCTCTACCACATAGCTCCTACGTTTCGTGCTGGCTCCCTTGTGTGGCTTTGGGTGCCCCCGCACGTTCCTGGCCGGTCTTTTAAACTTCTGGCCCGTAACTTCTGGCCCGGTACTATGGTCTGTACCGTGTCATTGACGCGACCTCCCTGGTGAATCACATCATCGAGCCATTAACACAATCACCAGATTTGCGCCGTTGAGGACGGGAGACCGTACATGTCGACTGTCTCAAGCCCTACTACGACCCCCTCATTGTGCCTACTCCCTGAATCGCCAGGATGGCTACCCTTCACCCCTGGGGGGTTTTGTAGTGGAGCATACGCACCAACACGTATGCGCCTTCGGAAGATAACGAAAAGCCCCGTACTCTGCTTGCGCGAGAGTTTGTGCTGCCTTTGCCAGACTTGCCGTACGCCCATTTTCCGTCGCGACCTCGTTGCGAATTCTCTGCTCGAATAAACGTCATCACACATTAGTTTTTTTTTTTTACCCCACCCACCCTATGTAATACCCTCCCAGTGAGGGCCTTTAGAGGTTTCTTGAAATAAATAAATCAATAAATAAAATAAAAGCAACTGTGTCACTATGTGAAATCTGTCCAGATATTTTGATACTTGCAGTATTTCCAATTCCAGAATTTTTGCACAAAACCTTCATGTGATAAATGTAGGTGACTATCCTCCAATTGAACCAAAAATGGATACCTTTGAAGTAGAGACAAATCTACCTTGCAGTTTTCAAATGTTCTACACAATACTTGGTGTTGTATAGCTCTACAAGACCACTTGGACGCCACTAATCACATTTTGTATAGACACACTGTTCTACATGCATCATGCTTATGACCTGTTCTCAGGAGGCCTGGTGACATGCCACACTTGTGATTAATTACAGTAGCTGTATAAATTTTTCTTTATCAGTAAAAATCGCACAAAATGGTAAATGCCATAACACATTGTAACCACTTAAATTTGGTACATATCACCTTTACAAAGCCTATAGTTTTTCAATTAGGGGCCCTGCAAGACTTTTCCAACTTGGTTAAAAAAACTCTTGCTTATCAGCAGTAAACGCTCCCGAGACCATGGGAGCCAAACAGCATATATAGCTTGGCATGGGACCTGGAATTTACAATTCTCGGTCGACTGGAAATCTGTGCCTTTCTAGAAATAATGCCATGTACCCTAATCACTGCTTCATATACCCAAATTCACGGCCATTTGCTGACCTAAAAATAGTGAGCTGCGTGGTTACTGAGGCCTAATTGACTCGTCAGTGATAAATTGGATCACGAGAGCATTAAAACTGAAAGTAAGCTGCACATACGAAGGAGGAAAAAAAAGAAAACGTGCCTGTGGCCATGACGTGCATGACATAACTTTTTGCAGTAAAATGATTAGCTGGGCGAGTTGGTATGTATCTAATTATTAACTTTTTTAGTGCCCACAAAATCCAGAACAAGAGTGTTTTGTGATACAGATATTTTGTTCTCGCATAGAGATAAACTAACATCTGAGCTTACGGAAGCCTTTCATATAAATGGGTGTACAAACAAATGCATTAGTCAACCTTCAGTGGCTCAAACAAATAGGTACTACAGTATTTGAAATTATGTTTAGTCATATATTTTTGTTTGCCTGTCGCATCACTTGCACATGCACTACGCTGGTTCCCAGGTACTCGTATGTTTTGTTCCTTTCAAAAATAAGTTAGTTGAGAGTTTGTGCTCATCTGTCTCTTTTTTGTTCTGTATTTTGTACACGCTAAAAAAATAATAATAATAATGACATAACTTCTTTGTCCCTGCCACTCCTCCCTCTTTACTTCCAATACGCTCATCGAGAGCAGAGAAAGCAATTGCAGTATGCAACTAATTTCAAACTCCGCTCGTGCTTGTACTTGGTAGATTCTAAAATTTTTTGCAATTGTCGATTCGTGACGTATTACTCTTTCAGTGAAGTCATTTGATGGTTAGCTTGAAAACTGTTGCAGGGCCCTTTTAATTGGCTTCTATGTCTTATATGATAGTTATTTATTGTAGTGCAGTTGAAATGATAGTGCCAGAGTTATTTGTGCTCCATGCAATGTTTATTATTTGCTGGAATTCACTTGTCAGACAGTGTAAAATATCTGCAAGCTTTCTTCACACTGGATTCGCTAGTGATAACTGTTATGTATTTTTTCACAGATATCTGGCATCGTAATTATTGTGTGTGGTGGCTACAGCCTGCATCTTTTCAAGAAAACAGGGCCAGTCATTGGTGATGACTATGTATCTGCTCCTGTCATCCTCATCGTTGTTGGTTCCATTGTATTCCTCGTCGCATTCTTGGGATGCTGCGGTGCTATGCAGGAAAGCTACTGCATGCTAATGCTGGTATGTATGAATTCTTGTGATTAATGTTCTATCCCCTGGGATGTATTCGAGGGTTCATGTTAATTTGTTCAATAAAGATCAATACATTACGTGCAATGGCGATGCCACAAGTGTGTTGTGCAATGCTAGCTGCGAGGGACAAAAATAGATGTGCTCTATCATTTTTTTTTCTATTCCGCATGTGCAGTTAACAAATTATTGGCAGACAACTGGCAACTGCTCCTTTTTTTTAAACGTGTATCTAATTACCATTCCTTATCTGACGCACTGCATTTTTTCTTGCACAGCACATTTAATAAGGTGCAGTATTACTGACACATTGATGTGGTCTGCACTTGCTGTTTTTTTTTGGCCTGAGCAAGCATGGTCAAGAGAACAGGTTCAGAATATTTGCCATGGCTGGTTGTGCGACTACAGCTCGATAGCTTGTGACTGGAACTATTAATGGGAGTCTCTTGCTTACTAAACAAATGCTCACTAGATGTATGAGATGCATTTGTGTTATCACTTTCTAAAAGCAGCAGTAGTTTGTGGCAGAATGGCATCTCAATGTTCTCTTGTTTATAAACTCCAAAGGATCACATTAGTTGTGGTGCATTTTGAAGAATTGTATAGTGTTTTGGTATTAGGATAAAGATGTTACGTTTCAGCGCAGGAGGTCTTCTCTTATTCATGTTTTATTGGGCCTGTTTACAAAATGTCATGACTTTTTCCCATCCATGACAGTATAGTTGTAATAGAAAATGCTGTCAATGCCATGGGGCTATTTCGAATAACTTTAATAATGTGGTGGAATATTAACTGATGTGAGGGCATGCACTTTCATGTCGTAAGACAGTGCAGTACAGAGATAGGAATAGCTTTATTTCCTGAAAAGAGATGGTATTGTACAGTTCAGAACTCCAGTCTGCATGAACCTGTATGGCAATTGTGTGTGTGTGTGTCTGTACAGTTCAGAAAAAAGAAAAGCTTTGCTAAAGCTATTAAAAATAGATTATAATACTTATCCTAGATTATAAACTATTTCAAAAGTGATGCATTCAGCAGCCTGTGCAGAGAACTTGTACATGGCAAGGGCTTTTGATTATAGAAATCAGTGTAAATAACATTGTACTGACAACACAATGTTTTAATACGTTGACTCTAAACCCTACCAAGGCAAATAATCCCTTATGCTGAATATATTGTGGGCGAGTATTACTATTTGCTTGGTACACATAGCCTCAAAAATTTCTAAACATCGGTAATTAAAAATGGAAAATATTTGTTTTGTAGTATTTTAATAGTGACCATAAGTTGATGACAAAGGTAGTACAAGTTTTGTTGCCCTGGTGTTGATAAAAATTTGGTGTATCACACACTTCTGTTGTCTTTGTTGTATTTTTCATTTAAATGATACTCATCTGCTTTTACTCAAGTTCATTCAGTGTCTTTGTATGCAACATAACATAGTGATAGTTGTTGCATTCGGAGGTCCCATATTAAGTGTAAATGTGAAATAAAAATTGAGATAGGAATGAACTTATTTTTTGAAATTATTACTCATATTCCACAATTATCTGCATTTGACATTGTTCTGTGCTAAGTAAATCGTGTTCTAAAGGTTAATGTAAGAAATTTACTTATTACTTTTTAAATGTTAAATTCTTGTGGTTGTAGTTCATTAGTAGTGGCATTGAGGGCACTATGCAAATACAACTAGTCAATTACACTATGTTACTGTTTATTCAAGAAATCTACCTTGAATAGACAAATATCTAGTAGGACATCTTGACTACTGATTTTTTTGGTCTCATTAAAGTAAAGGGCTGTTTTTAAGATGCGAGGAGCAGGACTATTTGTTCATGGCCTCTTATTGTTTTTGCATGAGTCAATTAATTTTGTTTGGTGATATTGAAAGAAATTTAGCTATTTTATTAGTCGTCCTTTTTCAGAAAGCATTTCTTTATTGACAAGTTATTCAGGAAGTACTCGGAAAGCATCTTTTTATTGACAAGTTATTCAGGAAGTACTCATGTTAATGCCTGATTGTATGATTTCGCTCCAGTTTTCAGTATTTTTGTTCCTGATCCTGGTTGCTGAAATAGCAGCTGGTGCACTGGGCTTTGTCTACAAGGACAAGGTAAGAAATAAAACTGTCATGCTGAGAAAACACTCCATTTTGCAAACTTCCTGTTCTAGTTTGGCTTTACCAAATTAAACCTCGTTCTGATCAATACTAGCAGCAGTGGAATAACTAACCTTTCTATCATTTATGTTCTAGTATTCACACAAAATTTGCATCCACAGTTAAATATACATAAACTGGATACATAATCATTTTTTGTACCATAATAATATTGAACTGATTTAATTTGACATATGCCAAATTTTTATGTTGGTTTCAGCATGGTGCTGTAGTGCTCTGTGATGGCACATTCATGCATAGTTCGTAAAGGATGATATGTTGGTTTCAGCATGGTGCTGTAGTGCTCTGTGATGGCACATTCATGCATAGTTCGTAAAGGACGATTGCTTTTTGTCGGACATCCTTTCTTTCTTTAGCTGTTAAAAAAACTAGCAGGTTTGCTTTATGAAGATAACTATTTAAATTCGGCTGTTGTCTGGCAAGTGGCGAATTGCCATTCTGTCATAATGCCTACGGAACTGTGGGGGTTGGGGTTCAATTTTCGCGATGGAATGCAAGAATGCTTATTTATTGAGATCTAATGATTACTAGACCTCGCATGGCTTAAAATTTGTAGTCTCTTCTGTATGATCTCTTATAAACTCTATGCACCTTTAGGAATATGGCTTTATGTCCTCAACAGACCACCTGAAATAAATTAGTACTAAAAGATAGCTAGTAAAAGCAAAAAAAAAAAAGAAAAAAAGGAAATGTTGAAATGTTTATTGTGATGAGCTTAGTTTGTCTTTCTTAGAACTTGTTTTAAATCTCGAATTGTTATACTTAATTTCTAGTTGAAGTTCTACATGTACAATCTAATTGCCGTGCTTGAAAACTGTTCAATGCAGGTTGAAAACCTTGCTCAAGGAAGGTTTATGCAAACCTTGAAAGACTATGACAGGGAAGGTGAAGGCAAGGTGACCCCAGTTCGGGAAGCCTGGGATTTTATCCAACACGAGGTCAGTACAAAGGAGTTTGTGACAGTCTTTGCTTTCAGCAGCCCACGCCGCTACTGTTTTGGGCCTGTTTTATGGGCATATTAACTCTTCAAGATACTTTTTACGCACAACTTATCATCGTAATTTGTATCAACTAGCCAACTATCAATAAGGACTAACAGACAATGATTCTAAAAAAGGCATAGCGGATGTCATAAGTACTAGTAATTGTAATGTAAATGTGAAGAAAGAAAAGAACGAAACTCTTAACTTGCCGCAACCTTCAAATAATGTGTTCGATGCTCTACCAACTGGGCAACATTGGTGGTCATCCCTCCATCCGATTTATAGGGTATATATGTGCAATTAAATGTGGGAGTGTTGGTCAGCAGCGCCAGTAGCCACTAAGGCGAAAGTGGAACTACTTTTGTTTTACTTCGTGGCGTCCCGTAGTATGTGGACTTATGTGCAGGCAGCTGACCAATAATCCTTTGCATACTACCTGAAGGTATCAAGTCTGCCAAAACGATACCCTCGCTATGAATGTAGAAGAGCAGTGTCATTGTCTGTTAGTTCTAATTATTGTTGTATCTAACAAAGAAAAGAAGCCCTTAAGTTTTACACTTCTTTTCTTCATAACTACCCAACTACAGTCGATCCCGGATATACCGAACTCGAAGGGGATCGCAAAATAGTTCAATATATTCGATATATCGAACTAGCATTGAAGCTTTTCAAATTAGCGAACTTAGCTCCTTCGGCCACAACGTTGGCTGGCGCAGAACGCCGATGCAAGCTTTGTAGTGCGGCAAAAGCTTGGTTAGCGGCGGCAGCGAAGGTGTTGGCACATTCATAACCGCACGGCTACACTTCTGCGGCACCGGCAAAAGCAGCCAAAATCTCGGCATCGATGCAGTCAGAAACAGCAACATAGTCATCTGTACCGATGAAGTCGCTGCTGTCAGAGATTGGTGCCCGGAAATTCTGATAAGTCGCAGAATTCACTGAGGCACCGTACGCCGTTGTTAGCAGTCATGACGCACCCGAAGTCATCACCTGGCCCGCGAAGAACGTTTACAACACAGTGTTTTACTTGACGTCGCTCAAAGCGCCAGTTATAATTTTTATTGCTACATGCAGGTCAACGTTCAGCGAAACTCCCGAATGAGAATTTATTAGGAACGAGGCGAGAAGTGCACAAGGCGCAAAAGAAGCAGCGCCGAGTTCATCAGAATTCTCGCCATCGACACGTTGGCGATACTGATGTCACTGTGGCTTTGTAGCTGGCAGCCTCTGCTTTTAGCGGCTTTGATGCGAGAAGATAAAAAAAAGCGTAGCCTCTGAGACACGTGTTTTGAAACCGAAAACACTACAAATACACCACAAGGTAGCAAATCTCGAAAGGCATGCTTTTCAGGTTTGCATGCTGTTGTGTGCTAACAACAAGGAAGGGAATGCGAACATTGCACCGAGGTCGCCGAGTCGCTTCCCATTCTCATTTCCGTGCCCTTGGCAATCGGTCTTCTGGAAAACATTGTCTGCGCGCTAAGACCTGCAGATCGCGAATCAAAGGTACAGATGTAGCAAGTGCTGCGCAACGAACCAGATCAGCACGATGAAATAACACGCGTTTTTTTCCGTCGCCTGCATGCAAAAAATTCTGGCACGAGGCCGCCACAGCGCCCGGCCACTGTGCCCATGTTCTGCATGAAACTCACCGGCGTCGGCATTCTGCGACTGTGGTGACTTTGAGCACGGTGCAAGTGACACTTGATCGCAGTTGCTCTAACGTTAGGATTACAATGCTGGAGGCAAGTATAACGAGCAGAACAGAAAAGGTGTTTTATTACGCACATGCAAGTTGTTACTGTATGTACACATACCGAACACGAAACTACGTATGTGCACGTGGTCCTCATTGCATCTTCCTGGGCACAACAGTTTTGTCCGTTGCCACAAGCAAGAGCACTGCCCAACTGTCGCTGACCTGCAAGGCGTTCGTCGTCGTTCCACTTTGTCATGGTGCCCAATGCAATTTCGCTGAACACTTCAAATGCTTCATCGCGTCAACCGCCGCACAACACATGAATACGCACTCGTTTTACACACTGTTCAGGCCCCGTTGTGGACGAAAGGTATTGTAAACATTGCTAAGAGTAGAGTAACTGCCAGGAGAACACTGTGTAACCGATAACGCAGCGCAGAGCACGGATATTGTCCGCCACGGCTCAGCACGAGACCTGCGGAGGCACACATGCCGCCGCCAGCCGCGGCCGCTCACTGCTAGGCTAGCTACACTGCACAACACGTAACCATAGCAACGTCCCTGTTGTGCCCAGTGAATATGGCCACCATGATGTCATTTCCTCCACACTTTTTACGTAGCGCGCCAGCCGGGCATGCCCTCTCCTATCTTTCCTTCCTCCGTGCTGCAGGCCTTGCCAAGCCTTGTCCAGTGGCACCGCTGCCAATGCTCGCGATGTCAATGGAGGATTTAGACTTCAGTTGCCCATTGTTGTGAGACTTTCACATTTTTTTCTGCCAACGACCGGTATATAAGACAAGGGTCGACTTTTCATTGTGTTTTTTTTTATTCGACCTATATTCCGGTTTTTACGAATGCTACCCAAGCGTCTGTATCATAATAGGATTTGGTGTTATACTACTTGGTATCAGCAGGGTGTCACTTCCATAATTTAACCACTGTCATGATAAATAGGTTGTGTATACTGATCTTCGTACTTTCATTTAAAAAAGATGATTGTATGTCTGTGGTTTGTTGAAATATCCAGTTTGGCTCTGTGTTGGAGGGGAAGAGCTGCTTGTGAATAGATACATATTCAGTGGTTGTATATGCAAGTGCTAGCACTTATAGTTGCCTTTTAAGTTTCCCTTTTCACTTAACGGCCATGAAAGATATAGAAACAGAATGGTTGACATAGGTGGTAAAAAAAAAAAGCAATCAACTGAGCAAGAGAACATGCAGTGATTATGATGCCATTTTGCTTGGGAGAGCTGAAAGGTTTTTTTACCATTTTTCTAGGTTACTGTCTTAAAGGCCACTTGTATGTTTATGCAATTCACTTGTTCATCTGACAGCCAAGAATAATTTGGATTAGTCATTGTTTTAGCCTGATGTTTTCTCTGCAATATCTCTATTCATAATGTTGAACTGAAAAGGACTTTGTTTTCTCTCTGTAGCTGAAGTGCTGCGGTGTAAATGGACCTGAGGACTGGAGACAAACTAAACTTGGTCATCCACCAGGCAGCTGTTGCACTGATGGTGAAAACTGCCAGAAACAACAGACTTACTACCAAAAGGTATGCCACTTAACATGTTCATTGTATATCGCTTGCTTATGATAATGTATTTCCTAGAGTGTGCTGATGCTGTGATCTTGCCTGTATAGCTTTTAATTTTGTCTTGTAAATTCAATTGATATGATGTTGCACAATGTGCCTCCTGTGTGCCTATATAGTTAATTGCTTTACTAAAAATTAAGTTTCTAGTTTTCTGTTTCGTTCAATAAACACCTATGTTTGCCTACATTAAAAACTGCTTTTCTTTCTATTTTTTCCTTCTTTTTTTTTAGTTCTTAGACTTCGAATTCTGTTAACTTGCCTCTTTATCGACTTCTATAAACACTGAATTTATGCTTGGTGTCTGCCATCTGGAGCCAGCGTAATTTTTGTTTTTAACCCTAAAGTGCTCTTCCTCAGTCTTGTCACAAGTATACACCACTACCCTAAAATTCCGAGCAAGAGCCCCCCATTGAAGTCGAAATTACCGGCAGGGGGGAGAGGTGCCATCTTAGAACCGCACCAAAGTTTAAAATCGTGGCAAAACTTTCGCACCAGGAAAAAAAAAAACTCGGTGCGCATGAATTAAAATTTTATTAGGGAACTTTATTTAGGCCCAGGATTTGTTGTGGCTTTTAATCGCTTTCCAAACCGTCAAAACACTCCTCAGAGTCAATTGCAAAAACACCGGTCGCAGCATTCAACTTCAAGTCCGCCGCGGTCTTCTAGCACCACAGCGCCAACATCGGCCAGTCCACTGTCCTCTGAGCCATCGAGCGCGTTACTAATATCGCATTCCTTGAAAGACCGTGCCACTGTTTTCTCGGGTATAGCAGCCCGCGCCTCTGCAACCAAATCGAGCACTTGTTGCTGGGATGGCTTCAAGTTTTCGTTCGATGTTCGTGACTCCTCACACGTATAGTGCTCCCACAAATGTTGCAAGGTGGACTTGAACGGCTTATTCTAATGCAGATCGGCTGGCTGCAGGATGATCCTGCACCCCACAGGCACGTAGAGCACGTCGTGGTGTCGTGCTTCTCGAAGGCATTTATGGCGACTTGTGTCTTATGGATGGGCGCCTGGTCCAACACTAGTAAGCGTTGCACGTCGTCAACGTTTGGGCCTCATACTCTCGACAGCCATTATTGCATTTTCTCCGATGTGATCCCGTCGTTTTTTGTGGTGGTGAGACGAACATTTGCTACGAGTAGAAAAAAAAAGTCGGCATTGTGATAAAATGAACTAGGCGACAATGTGACTCCTTGCTCCCATAAAGAAAAAAAGTTATTCTCACCTGGTATGCGAAGGCTCGCAAAGGCCCTGGCTGAAATTTAACCACTTTGCTCCTTTAAGACAATCAAGGCTCGGAGTTTGTGACTGGTGGCGCAAGCATCTAGGCAAACTGTGAGGCCTTGCCAGGCACATCCAGTGTTCACAATCCATATGGTGCTTTCGCCGACCATGTTGTTCGTCCTGTTGGCGGGGTTGTCTATTCGCACCATCGTCTGATCCATGTTGGCCTTGTTATATCAGGTGTAGTCGTGCCGTCGCAGCGAGATTGTGGAAGACCAATAGGCTTTTGTGGCTTCCGGAAGTTCTTTCGGCATCTTCTGGCTTTTGTTCGTAGCGCGGCGCATTGCAAGGCCGAATCGCTGTTACTAGAGATATATATAATGTCTGGAGGCTATGAAGTTTCCAACTGCATGCTGTTGGCAATTTTGACTGACTCTTGGAGTTAATTTCCTCCTCCTCGACTAGCTTCAACACTAGCTAAGGAGGGAAGATGTTTGAGGTTCGGAATGGGTCCCCTCGATGACTCGAGTGCACGGTGGCAGCGCGAAGGAAGAGCCGTAGTTCGGTGAAGAGACGCTTTATTGCAGCCTCAGCCGACTGCTCGAGTCCAAGCCCGAACCTCTGCTTCAGATTTATTGGCAACGAATGTTCGCATCTTGTCACTTAGAAATGGCAATAGAATCGTGCCCCGAATATCCTCAGGTATGTTCAATGCCGCAAAAAGAGCGTCCACATTTTTGAACCAGGCGGGAATCATAGGCTCATCAGTGGGCATGGGTGCAAGAACTGCCTTTAGCTCCTTCGCGTACCGTCCGATACTGGATTGCTGGTTCCGGTTTTCCGGTTCCTTCGATAAGGCACGCGACGATCTCATTTTTTCTAGGTCAAGCTTAAGCTTCAGCGCTTCAATTTCAAGCTTCAGTTTTCTGGTGCGATCCGATTCACTAACGGCGTCCCCTTCTATCACATCTCTATCTGAGTCCGCCATCTCCCAGAGAGTGCCTGAACGCAAGTTCATTCAGTAAAAACAAATTTGGGGGGGCCCTGAGAGAGCACAAAGCAGGTCTCACCTTGCAGTGATGCGTCGCCCGATGCACTTGACAGTTGGAACTGCGTCCGCCTCGTTGCCAACGCTAGCTGTGACAACCAATTCCGATGCAGCAGGTCTCCGCGCGGTCGCCTGTCGCTGACTCAGTCTGTCACATCGACTGCCCTGCTGCTCTGCTCCTGAAGCAGCACACTGCAGCGCCTCCCCGGTAGGTCCGTCACTCAACGACGATCTTTGGCTCTGCTCTCGTGCAGTGACACGCAGTGCTCTTGCGCTGCCGAACTCCAAGCTCCAATGTTGACCGGCAGGCTCGTACCGAATGTCAATTCTGCTTCTTGCAGCACAACAGCCAGTCCCGAAGCTGCATGTGTCTTGTCAGCTTCCCGGACTTTAGCACCTTCCTCGCTGCGGGCGCTCCACATCCTGTCGACAGCGCCAGTTAATTTCCTCCTCGAGGGGAACCATTCTGAACCTCAAACATCTTCCCTCCTTGGCTAGTGTTGAAACTAGTCGAGAAGGAGGAAATTAACTCTTGGGAAAGAATCTGGTTGCTGATGGCACGTCCTGCACTTCTTTCTCATTCAGTTTAAGGTACTTGAAAGGCGCATTATCCACATGTTCGCTGAACACTGGTGCGCCGTTACTAAGCTGTCATCGATGTTTCGCCTTCCCATGGTTTAGCTGCAGCGAATTCTTCTCCCATTCCCGTATCCCCTTCGGGTCGAGCTTGAAACGTTGAGAAGTTTCCTTTATGCCATCAAATAACCTCGATTTTCTTTGCCACTGTGTAGGACTGCATAGCCATAGCTGACCTCTCGCTGTAAATGCGAAGCAACAAATGGTACGGAGCATGCGTGGAGCAATCTAGCTGCAGTACAAAGCAGAATTGGATCGGATTGGATTGTTGCGGAGTGGTGGAAGAGGAGGGATGCTTTACCGGAACTGGGTGGATATTTGAAATCGCCAGTGAAGTTGGGGGGGGGGGGGGCTCTTATATGGGGGGAGGGGGTTCCGGAATTTTACGGTAAGCACTCGCCATGCCTAAGTACAGTAGAATCTCAATGATATGAATTCGAAGGGAGCAGGCAAAATATTCATATCATCCCATATTCGTATGAACCAAAAACAAGTTAGAGCTGATAATGAAGATGAACAAGCACTTTATTGGGGTCAACTACTACTTGCTAAAAAAAGTCCATAATATTCTTTTTAACCTTCCTGCTTTCACTGCCTCTCAAGAAAGTGCCGTGGTTTCCTCACTCGTGCTGCTGGTGCTTAAGGCGCGTTCACATTTAGCATCAAAGGGAGCGAAAGCGGCCAAATTTATTTGAAATTCACTCGACTCGCCGCTTAAGCGGCTGGAAAAACCATGAAGTTGACGCGAAGAAAATAAGTTGAGAATTCAAGCGTAAATGCCAGAGTGGCTGCGAAACTACGTTCACGCTTGTTCAAAATGGTCACAATTGTTCTCACCCTCGTATATATTCCACTGCTGCCGTAGCTGCCTTTGCCACTTGATAATCTATTTTGCCCCTTTCCTGAGCATTGAAATTTGTACCGAATTCTAGTTCTGCATGCAAAGCTCTTTACACCTGTACAAACATTGTTTTAGAGATGCACCAGATGAAACGACATGAGCAAACGCACTGGCAGTGGGGGTGACAGATTTAGCAGGCAGTGCAAAAGCAAGACACGTTAAGACGTGCGGACTCACTGTTGCTGCACCTTCTTCTGCTTTCGGTGTTCGAAGCGATCGTAATCCAAACCAGGCTCTCGATGAACACATCCTTGTCAAGGCCGTGAGCTTTGTCGTGCTGCTCGGGTAGTTCACGATTATGCTTACGCGAGCCACTGCCGACGCCTTTGCCGCCATGATGAATTTGCGGCTGGTTGTTTACATCACATGGTGTGAGAGCTAGTTCAGCTGGTGTAACCAAAGCCGTGAAGCAAAAAAATGATCTGCTATCCCATGGTGGAAAAGTTGGTCTCTGGCTGATTTTTTCGCGACGGCCTCGCGACTTGATTTTTCCCGCCACTTACGTGGCAAAGTGAGCGAAATTTTGGTAAGTTTTACTGCATTCGCTTTCATGACGCCAAGTGTGTATGGGCCTTCTTCCCACAGACAAGCTGCGTTGTGCCGTTCGCATGCAGCGGTCAATCGTGCATTTGTATCATCCGCGGTGGCTGGGAAAACTGTTCGTTTAACACAGAATCAGTAAGTGCATCGAACTAACACACGGTGTCATTGAAAAAGTTTGCTTAGGCTGGCACGGGTCGGATTGTAAAGCTGAAATTGTACCTTGCAAAAAATTATAGCAATGTTTACTTAAATAGTACAGCTCAACCTCACTTTCCACAGTGGTCTAGTGGTTATGGTGCTAGACTGATGAACCGCAGGTCTGGGATCGAATTCCGGCCACGATGGTCGCATTTTTTATGAAGGCAAAAATGCTAGAGGTGGTATATTTGGATTTAGGTGCACATTGAAAAACCCTAGATGGTCGAAATTTCTGGAACCCTCCTCTACGGTATCTCTCATCGTAGCGTGGTTCTGGGACATTAAACTCCATCAATTAATATTAGTATAGTCAAAATTCGCCACAATGAAATTGATAATGCACAGAAAAAAATTTTGCTTGTTGTGAAACTGAAAAAAATATAGCTGACTTGAGTTTCTTCTATGCCCAAAATTCAACAAGTGCGAGCTGCTTCCTTTTGTTTCCCAGTAGTGTCATCACTAGATTCTCGAACACGCATAGCAACGCCATGTTGAAAAAACACACTCAAACACCTGCTTCTGTGAAGGAACCAAACAGAGCCACAGATGCATATCACGAACTGCGCAGTTAGGCTAGCACCGTAACAGTAGCAACTATCTACCATCAACAAGGTATCCGACAGTGCTGAGATGCAGCCATGGTATCATGGAGCGGTGACTTGTGCCTTATACTAAGCTATGCTTATCATTGCTATCCTCATCATTCAGTAGTTGTGGCTGGCTGATCTTGTTGATAGCACAAATGAATCATTGCTCTGATTACTGACTGCACTGGCCAAGGGCAAAAAGAACGAAAGGCATTGGAAAAGGAATTGTTCAACGATGGCACCCAGCTGCAGTGTGGACAACTTTGTGACCGAGTTTCAGCTTCAGATTGTCTACAACTAAGAAGCAAGCCAGTGGCAACAGCAGGGCAGCCTCATTGGCATCAGTATACGCATTCAATTTGGAACTGTAGGCTGTAATACCATACGAATTGGCGGCGTATCGTGATGTTTTATTTGGTGCTTTTAATTCAACCCGCCGGATAATTTGACCTCTTTCATTCGTCCCATCAAGGTAGATTTAATGGAAGTTGAGTTTAGTTCTTCGGATAACTAAAACCTCATACAGCAAAGGAAAGTGTCAGGGGTGTTGTCCGTAGAAATTTAACTGAACAAAGAAAAAATTGTCTCTTGTGGGTACTGCACTCGCAACCTTCACACTGTGTGTGCGATGCTCTACAAGGGAATTGCATTTCATTTTCATCCACTTTCATATCTTCTTTCTGTAACCGCTTCATGTGTGGGCCCGTCATAACTGCATTTTTAAACCTGTTGCAACTTTGTATGTATTTCTGTTCTTGTTTGTAACAATTTTTTACTGTTTGGCACTGGCTCCTGTGGCTGTGGTATCGCACTGTTAAGCAGAAGGCTGTGGGCGTGATCCTGGCCACAGTGGCCATGTGCTGATAGTGTGGAGTGCAAAAACTCTTCTGTGAGATGCTTTAGGCCTATATTAAAGAGGTCCTCAGGCAATCAAGCTTTATCTGGTCTCTCAATGCAGAGTGCTTCATAACGGGATCTAAAATGCAGAAGTTGATGTGAACAGGAAAGCTTGTAGAGATGAAAAATTTGGGAACACGAGGGCTACACTGAAGCCAGCATCAACCAGTGTTCCCAAGAATTTTTCATCTTGTCATTAGATTGTTGTTTTAGAGAGAAAACCCCTTCTTAAATGGTAGTTGCAGTTCAGATGCACAGTTACACTGCCAATTACCCTTCATTAATGCTAGTAAAGTATATTTGGAACACAATTACTGGTCATAGTTATACAGAAGTATTAGTAGCGGTCAATTGTCATGGAGGTACGCATTATATCAAGATTTGTGTCTTCCTGCTTGTTCTATTATTTAATGATTATTTAATGTTTAATAGTGCATTGACAAGATTTGTGATAGAATTTCTCTGAATTTTTGTGATATGCTTTTTTTTTGTCTTAATACACCTTTACGTTGTTATCCAGTATTGAATAGCAAAGCTGTGTCTTTGTATAGAATAGTAAGACTACATTATGATGTTTTTAACTTACTATGCATGAATATTATTTTTTCAGGGCTGCTATGACAAAGTGAAAGAGGACCTTTCACAATATGCAGTCTATGTTGGAGTTGCAGGAATTGGCATCGGTTTGATTGAGGTGAGCTGTGATTAGCTGCATAGGTTTGTTGCATTGAATTGACATGCAAGCTTATTCATGGAGGCTGAAGGTACTGTTTAATAGGAAGGTGCATCTTGCATTTCTTTTCATCATGTTAGACTCATATTATGGTTATTTAGAAAATCCACAGATCACTTCTTTTCAGAAAAGCATTGTGATCCAGTGTGGTTGGTGTAGATGGAAGGCAATAATTCTAAACACATTAAAGAGCCCAGCACTATCCCAGCCACACATTAGTTTTTCGTGACCCAATTCCACCTATGGAACAATCATTATTTTGCACTTTTGTTTGTGTTGATGCTGTGACACTTGGCATTCAGAGCTGCTTTGGAGCGTGTATGGATGCTGGCAGTGTGGTCTTGTTGTGTGGCCATTTCGGGTGTGTGTGAATATTCAAAGACTTCTGATAACAAATCGAATACCATTTTGAATTGATTCGGTTCTCAAATTGAATAGTGCTTATTTGAAATACCAAATCTTTTTCTAATAGCATTTTGGATTATCAGCAATATAGAAAAATGCTTGAAGGCATTAGATGTTGCCATAAAAGTTGCCATAAAAGACATTCACTTCCATGATGTAGGTACTCTGCTGGCCTAGCTTTATTCTGGGATGTAGATAGAAAATCCTTTGTCATAATTTATAGATTGAGTGCTCATATTATGCAACACATTTTTTATTTTGGTGAGATATTCACATGAATATAGTTGTAACAAGTGTTTGAATATTCAGTCCAGTCATATAGCTAAATAGTTTTAATGTATTTAAATAGTTTATGTCAGTTTGTTAAGCTGACGATGTTGTGCGTACTAGCAGAATTGTGCCTTGTTTTTAGTACTGCCGATTGTGCTCTCAGATGTTATGTTTCTCTATATTATGCATTCTTTTTCTGTGACCCCCAAGAAACGTCTATAGGAGTCTTCAATTTAATCTTCCATTCACGCTGGACAAGCAGCAGAATAGCGAGAGTGCACAAAGCAGACGGAAATTATGTTCAGACGTGTCCTGTTCCTTTCCCCACTTCCACCTACACTAAAGGGGTACTGACGCAAAAATTTTGGCATCACATTTTTCTGCTGCAATGTGTTGCTGGGGGCCTGTTCGTCATAACACAATACATTGTTTGCTACCACATATGACGTATAATTAATTACAGGCCCCTCATTATCGACCAGTTTCGGTTTGAGAGAGCTTCAAAAACACAAAACCGCCAGGAACAACTATAGCCACCTAGCGTGTGCAGTTCTCGACCACGTCAGCACACAGAACTGTGACATACTTCCGCACAGTCTGCATCAAGAATTGCTTTTGAATAGGAAACGGGACTGCAGTGTGGCCAAAACTTTCAAAGCGTGTGTCACAGCCATGCACTTGCGACGAGTTGCCGAGAGGTATAGACTGTGGGAACAAACACGTCAAAAAAATATTAACAGCTATGACGTCATCATAACTTGTTTTATTGACAGCAGTGTGGTCATGTGAGGGAAGTGGGGGTTCCCGAAGGGTCCCGTTCGAGGGTGTCAATAGCACGATGGAATCTAGCGGTCATGGAAACTTCAAAATTAATTTAACATACCTTCCAAGCTATATTGACCGTTGATTTTTTGCAGATGATATACGAATGTTCGTGGAAATCGACCCCGCAGGCTATCTCAGCCACGAAATTTTGTGTCGGTACCCCTTCAATAAAAGACCCCTAAACCACCTGGAGGTCCAAAAAGTTATGTGGCGGCACTTCAATATGAATCTAGAACAAACGTAAAGCTTCAAGAATTTAGGCTATATGACACCTGCAACAGCAGAGTTGCAGGCATCTAATGATGGACAATGTGGCCACTGCTTGCTTTTTGAATTCCTTCGCTTCTCTCATCTCTGCACATTTCATCCTTGCTGGACACTTCTCCGAAAGTTGTGTGGGCTATAGGGCACTTTCGTGAACCTATCTGAGTGAACTTTGATTGAACGAATATTTCAGAATAGCCAACTTCTCGAAAATTCCCAGCGGTTTTTTTATGCATTGTTCGCAAAAATATTTCAGTTAAACGAACTTTTTAATAGTGGCTATTTCAGTTGAATGAACTTAATTGGCAAACCAAGGCTCAATTTTGAGATCACTTCAGTGAAGTTTTCCGCTCTGTGGTGCTGGTGTACCCAGTGTGTGCCGCCCTGAAATCGCCCATAGTGGTGCAACATCGCTTATACATGCGGCCCCGCCGATGTAAAGAGGACAGGCGAGAGAAAATAACCAGCCACGTGTACTTCAGTACCTGTGCACAGCTGTCAGATTTTAAAATTTGTTCCACTGTTCGTCCGAAGCCGAAAGAAACGTGCGAAGTTATGGCTAAGGCCAAGGCTAGAGATCGTATTAGGAAGTTGCTAGAGTTACAACAATAAGGTGTGCTAGTGGCAGTGCACAGAAATGTTTACTCTTTGACCAGCTTTCTCTCCTTGCACTTTAAGGGGGGGCGCGGCAAGTAAAGTGCCGATTTTGGTCAAAATATGCGATTTTCTGATTTATTTTTTTTCGTAATCTTCAGACCTTCAACTTCCTTGTTCTAAAATATTACAGCGAAACGTGCGCTACAAATCCCGCAAATAGTGTTTTTGCCGAGGCTAGTCGCCGAAAAGTGTGAAAAAAAAGCCCCTGAAACGGTGTTGTTCACGCCGCACAAACGCGCCAAGTTGTTGACCGTGGGCCGCCATTTTGGTAGCTTTGGAAAGAGGAGAAAGCCGGCTTCCCGATGGTCGCGGTCTCGTATTTCACCGAGTGAAAATAAAGCGCGAGGAGCAAGTAAAAAAACGAAAACGAAGAACGGCAATTGGCTGCGCGGGTCACGTGGTAGCAGGCGCGACCTCTTACTGGTCAAAGCTGCGCCGCGCACCTTGGCAACCTTGGAAGCGCGAGCGCATCTGCGGCCGCCGAGTCGAGAATCATTCGGCGTGCGCTTCGTTTTTTGCCAGTTGGCTGTTTTTGTGATAGTTCGCGTGCTTTTTTTACCAAGCTTTGTTTACATCGGTGGTCTCTTCTGAGTGCTTGCTCATACTGCGGTGCTATGTTGTCGCAAAAAAAGTTCCGGAGCGTCCACAAGTACGGCAAGCGTCGGAAAGCTTGGAACAAAGAGCAGACGACTGCGGCTGCCGTCCCAGTCGCAGTTCCGGACGGAGCATGCTCTTCAAGCGTCACGGAGCCTCTACTCAGACCCTTCGCTGATTGTTGTGAGGCCGAGAGTGTGGAAGGTGCCACATCGTCGTATGTCAGACCGCCGGATGCCGTCGACCGTGATGGACGCTCTCGCGAACCCGATTGCGGTGGCACCGCGTCGGCAGCCGTTGCAACTCCGGGCGTGCGCGCGTCGAACATTCTATCGCGAGTTTCGGCCCAGATTCCGAGCAGTGAAGAAATCGCGCAGCGGGCGCAGACAAGGCGGGATGTTTTGGATGCCGTAGCATCGAAATCCGCTTCAAAGCGGAAGCTCGAGCTTCTGAACGAAGGCTGCGACGAAAATGACGGCGGTAAGGACTCCACATTCTTCATTGTAAATAAGAAGATGCTGAACGGTCTGCTTTCGTCAGTAAAGTGCAACAAGTGCGACGAAGGGTCGATACGCCTCGAGACTACGCACTGCCTTGGACTCGCGGCGAGGATGGAACTTTTTTGTGACAATTGTGGCATAGTGAACAGTGCGTGGTCGTCCCCGAGGTGCTCCGGGCAACAAAAAACGAACCCCTTTGAGGTAAACATGCGTGCTTTGAGGGCTGTGCAGTCAGTTGGCAGAAAACAATCTGCCATAAATGACATTTTTTCTGCGATGGACATTTCGCATCGAGCACTGCACCACAAGTCCTACCAGAGACTGCAAAGGAAGTACAGCCACCCTGCCACCACATCAGCTGCCACCCGCATTGAAGCAGAAAGTGCACAGAAGGTGCATGACATTTACAAGGACCTAGGAGGAGTGCCAGGCAACATTGACGTCATTTACGACGGCACGTGGATGACGAGGGGGCACAGAAGTCATATTGGCGTGGGCTGTGTAATCGAGCTGTACACAGGCTTGGTCTTGGACCACTGTGTCCTGTCCAACTACTGCCAAGGCTGTGCTGTTGGCCCCAAGCCTGGTGACGACAACTATGAGGAGTGGCTTGAGAAACACAAGCCACAGTGCCAAAAGAACACCGATGCTAATGCAGGCCAAATGGAAGTAGAAGCAGCGAGGATCATGTTTGAAAGATCGTTTACCAAGTACAAGCTTCGATACATCAATGTGCTCTGCGACGGTGACAGCCGTACGTACCTTGCCCTCACGCAAGACAAGGTGTATGGCTACATGTTGATTAAGAAACAGGAGTGTGTGAACCATGTGAAAAAAAGAATGGGCACTTCCTTGCGCAACCTTCTTGATGAGCACAAATCCAAAGGCCGAGGACTGAGCATGGGTGGCAAAGGCCGGCTGACGCAGGGCCTTATAAAGAAGTTGACGAATTATTATGGCTGGGCCATTAAGAGCCACCCCAACGATGTTCCTGGCATGGAGAGGGCCATCATGGCCACTTATTACCATGTAACATCCACAGACCAGGATCCACACCACGACCTGTGCCCAAGTGGGACTGACTCCTGGTGCCCGCACAATCAGGCATTGGCCAAGGGAGAGCCGCTGCCGCCTCACAAACATAAACTGCCCCCTCACGTGCGAGTGGCACTGCTGCCAATCTACAAGCGCCTCTCGAACAAAGAGCTCCTTGAAAGGTGTGCGCAGGGAAAAACCCAGAACGCTGTGGAGAGTATGAACAGCCTCATTTGGTCACTCCAGTCCAAGAGCCAGTTCGCCTCCCTTCGAAGTGTGGAAAGTGCAGTTGCAGATGCAGTCTGCCGTTTCAATGGTGGCTGCAAGAGTGCGCTGCAAGAGATCACTGCTCAACTGGGCTTCAATCCAGGAGACTGCTCTTTGCGGCGAGCAGCCGAAAAGGATGCCAAAAGGGTGAAGAGGGCTCAAAAGGCGCATTGTTCCACGACAAAGAAGCGCAAAACTGGGTTGCGCTCTACAGAGGCCAAGGCCACAGCATCTCAGGATTACTGCCCAGGAGGATTCTGAGTGTTTTAGGCATGTTGTGAACTTCCAAACAAGAGTGAACTTTCAAAGTCAGTTTTCTCAACTCTTGATTTTCGCCTATGTGCCTTCGCTAGAACATCTGTCATTTTTTAACAAAGACTGATAGAGTCGTTCCGTTTTTTGCACTAGGCTCAGGAGGCCTTTAGCAGTGCAATAAAGCTTTATCTCTCTTCTTACTCATCATTTAAAATTTTTAGAACACATTTTATAATTACTGCGATGTGTGCGCAAAACAACATCCATGTTTTGGAAATTTTATTTATGGTTACAAGAACTAGAAAAATCAACTAATAGCTTCTTTGCACAAGTTGATGCTTTGGGAACATAATAATATGAAAAAATAATTTCATTTAGCAATAATTATCTCTTTAAGTGTGAAGAGCATTAATTAGTATAATTATGCTTGTAACTCAAAAAGTACAAGAGGTATTTGAAAACGGTTTTCATATTTGGAATCCTCACAATCATCCACATACACACACCAAATTTCATCACAAACAGTACATTAATAAAAAAATTAGTTTTACTTGCCACGTCCCCCCTTAAGGGTGCCAGTCCAAATGAAAATCATAGAATTCTTTTCAAAATGATTGCGTTTCACATGCTTGAATTGGATTTCGGCTGTTCCGTATTCCAGTGGGTATTCAGTTTAGCAAACATTCAGTTAAATGAACAATTCCCTTTGGTCTCTTGATGCTCACTCAATTGAGAGTTCACTGACTGTGCCAGCTCTTTCTGTGCACTTTCTTTTTTCAAAACACCATGCACTCTTTGTTGCAAAGGCACTGTGCTTTTGGTTTGCCTGCTGTCCTTCAAAGATGCTGTGGTGGTGAAACGGTCTTTGGATGCCCCTCACGTAGCAGATATTTTATGACATTATAGTTCGTTGTATTTCTTTTTGTGCACTGCCTGCTGAATTACTGTTGGGCATCGCAGCTACAGGCAGTGCCAACATCGGTTAGAGCCACTATTTCAGGCAAGCGATAATGTGTATCAGAATAAAGTTAGGCAAAAATTGGTAGTGGACATAGCTTTTTACAAAATAAACATCTAGTTCCAGTGCAAGTTATAGAAGTTTTGTTCAGAGATAATTAACAGGTGCCGCCAAAGCACACAGAAGCGGTTTGGCCATAATTTCGTTCGAGCTGATGCCTCTGTGTACATCAGCATATTCCCTGTGTGTTAAATAATTTTTTGAAAAATAAAAAGGTACGGGAAGGAAAAGAATGAAATGTCTTAACATTGTCGCCACAGAACGCTTGGGAAGGAACCGCCCAAGACCCATTCCCTAGTGTAATCGGGTATAGTTTCGAAGTGAATAAAAAAAATGCTTAGGGATGATACAGACACCCAGGCGATCAGTGGCATCAATACTGGTGGAAAAAATTGGGGCCTGCACTCCATGCTCTGTCAGGAGAAAACCTTGCTCACCACAAACAAAACCACAATTGGCTCCAAACGGCAAACAAAGGCCAAGTGTGGTGTGATGTGTTTCTCCAAAATCTCACTGCCATGGGTAAATAAGTTTCAGAATGTTTGTATTTGAAACAAGTGATGTGGCACTACGAATGGAAAACCATGACGTGCAGCATAATCGTGTGTAGCAACACTACGAGTTGTGCAGTCTATACATGTAGACTCGCTAGCTCAGTAAGCGGAAGTCTCAAGTTCTCTCTTGGCGAATTGGCAGCCCCAGGTTCTGGTGACATATCTAGATGTACCATCTGATATGCCGAAGAGCTATGGCAGCATCACAAAGGTTCAGGGTGAAACACGTCATTTTCTTAGTTTGTAGTGTTTACTGGTGCATAGTGCTGCTTCATTGGACTTAGGGGATTTTAATTGTATTCCGAGCTCCATTTAGGTGTCTACTCTAAACATCTAAAAAAAAAAGGGTGGTTCAAGGTGCTTCATACAAAGGTATTGAATGTATGCCACTTTTTCTCTTTTCTGGACTGTGTATTTTGTAATGAATTTTCACTATTTATGGGAAACACTGAGAAGAAATTGGAGAACACTGAGGCAAAATAGTTTGAGCTTCTCAACCTTTTGTTTTCTGGAGATGCACTGGCAGGAGCTAATAAGCAGACACTTGGAAGTGGTTCAACGTCATTGCATGTTAAAGAACACCGAATGGTCCGAATTTTCGGAGCCCTTCACTAGTGTGTCTCTCGTAATCATATCGTGGTTTTGGAGGTGCGAAACCCCAGATATTATTATTACCTAGTAGTGGTTGCAGTAGACTCGGCATGCTCACGGAGGAGACAAGTTGAGACACTCCAACGTAGCACTGGTAAAGATTTCTCGTCGAAATCATGCTTTTGAGAAATGCATTCTTTTAAAGGCCACGTTTTGTCAAGCTAAATTCGAAATTGCATCAATAAGGAACATCGTTGACAGTTAGGCTACCACTTTGAATTCGCAAAAGGATTTTTACATGCTAGTGCAACCAGAGCATAGCTTCTGATAAAGTAGAAAAGGCACCTTCGCCTAAATGGAAGAAGCTCTGCAACTAATTAGGCTCACCTGACCTGCATTTTTACCCACTTTGAGAGGTTGCTTCATGCTGTTACAAGATTACTGCCTTGGGTTTCTTTTTTGTTTTCACATTGAATTCTGCTGCAATTTGTGCTGCCAACCTGGGTCTCTTTTGTGATTCATGCTCATTTCCATGTTTTGACATTGGACATGTCAAAAGGGGCCCTGAAACACTTTTTTAAGTAATCATGGAATGAATTCAGTGGAAAAGCCTTTTGCCTCAAGAATTCAACACCACAACAATTTTCAGAATCCGTCCCGTGCGAGAGAAGTTACAAAGATTTGTCGCATGCTGCAACTGGATTCTCTCTTCTCTCGCCTCGACGAAAGCGCTGGAAGCTAAGCAGGGAGGGATGGCAGGGGCAAAAGAACTATGTCATCTGTGCCTTTTGACCTCGAGCTTTTCTTTTTTTTCTTTTTTTTTTTCAAATGCGCAACTTTTTCAGTGTGATCGCACTCGCACGCATGGATAAGTCGCGGCCTCCTGCGGTGGTCTCTGTAACGACGGAGCGCGCCATGTTACAATCAGCCAATGGCTGATAGATGGGCTTTGTACAAGTGATTTTTGAGTGTCTTCTGTCATTTTTAGAGAGAAGAAAAAGCAATTTTTAGCTGACTTCAATAATTTATGGTGAATTTCAGGCCATGTGCTGCACTCTAATATTTGGCTCGCGTGTTGTCGGGAGCCTCTACTACTGATTAGCAGCATTTTCTGACCATGCTCAAAAAGTGTTGTTTAATGTGCTTGTTTGGTTTTTATGTATATCGTGCAGCATCTAGTGCAAGGTATTTCAGAATATTGTCTTGTTAAGCATATGTTACTAAAGTTAAAGTTGTAGCCTTGCTGCTGTGATATACAATTAATTTTTTATCTATAATTTCCTTTTTCTTTTTCAGATAATTGGAATTATTTTTGCCTGCTGCCTTGCTAACCAAGTGAAGTAATGATGAACATCGTGCAAAGTATATAATGGCTATTGGTCTGCTCATTCAATTCATGGCAGCTGCTACAAGTCACACCCTGTGTTTTGATCCCATACCAGACAAGTTCATGTGCTATTTTCGGCAGGAAACCTTCTGTCCTTTTGTCAACCAAAGCTCATCCCTACCTTGTGTACCATATCGTTGTGCCTTAATATTGTTGAACAAGAAATGTTTTTGATGTTGCTGAGCTTTGACCCTCACAGTTGCACCGCTTCTCATCTCGGGAAGGGACAGGTGCGCACTACAAGATCAACCCCGTTTTCATTACATTTGCACAAGTTGAGACAAGTGGCTGTCTCATGTTGCAGTGTACCTCAAGATTTGTATTGTCTGTAAATAGCTGTTGTGTGTCTGACTATTATGGTGGGGAGTTTTATATATATCTTTCAATGCTAGCTGCTGTGGCCATTTTCTGGCAGCAATGAGTGCATTCTCTAAAAGGCTATTTTTTTAAAGATCGATATAAGAGCCTGATAGGCTTGTATTTTGGCAGCAAGATTTGTCACTTCTGTAGCTTGTTAATTTACACAAGTTATCTTGTTTAGAGTCAGTGGCTACAGTATTTACAAATGCGTGTTGTTCACTGTAATTTAATAAAGTTAATCCATGCTTGTAAATTGAAAATTGTGGCAGTTGCCTTTTCTATTATAGTTTTTTCCGTACTTGCAGAGAACCACTTAGTAGTTGCAAAATGCAAGTGCAATGCCTCATGCCCTGTCTATTTCGTACTGGCCTTCTTGGTGGTAGGCCACAGTTGCTACTAGCTGCACTGCCGGGTGACAGGTTTGATTTTTTGATAACCACTGCGCAAGATTTCTTGCATCATGCATACAACCTTTCAAAGTTAAGTTTTCCGAAACCCTTGGATGCCCTTTCAACTGCAAAAATTTGCTTAAATGCTTAGAAGCACAAATGGGCAGTAGCGTTCTTGAATAGCAATATGTTACACTTGTGACATTAGATTTTTTCACCAGTGCTGGAAACAATAACACAGCTTGAGCATGCTCTCCTTGTGGTCGATTTCACTGTCAACAGTTGGGAATCTTAACAGAGACTGGTCTTTATTGGCACACACACACACACACGCGCACACACACACACGCGCACACACACACACGCGCACACACACACACACGCGCACACACACACACACGCGCACACACACACACACGCGCACACACACACACACGCGCACACACACACACACGCGCACACACACACACACGCGCACACACACACACACGCGCACACACACACACGCGCACACACACACACGCGCACGCACACGCGCGCGCACACGCGCACCGCACGCACGCGCGCACACGCGCACGCACGCGCGCACACACGCGCGCACACACGCGCGCACACACGCGCGCACACACGCGCGCACACACGCGCGCGCACACACGCGCACACACGCACACACACACACGCGCACACACACACGCGCACACACGCGCGCACACACACACGCGCGCACACACACACGCGCGCACACACACACGCGCGCACACACACACGCGCGCACACACACACGCGCACACACACACACGCGCACACACACACACACACACACACACACACACACACACACACACACACACACACACACACACACACACACACACACACACACACACACACACACACACACACACACACACACACACACACACACACACACACACACACACACACACACACACACACACACACACACACACACACACACACACACACACACACACACACACACACACACACACACACACACACACACACACACACACACACACACACACACACACACACACACACACACACACACACACACACACACACACACACACACACACACACACAGAGAGAGAGAGAGAGAGAGAGAGAGAGAGAGAGAGAGAGAGAGAGAGAGGGGGGGTCTGTTACTTGTGCAGCGGAATAATCCACTATAATAAATACACATCAAGTCAGGTTAGACTGTTAGTATTATTGTAAATAAGCGAAGATGAAGTCTAAACGAGGAAAGATAGCTGCTTTCAAAATATTTTGTTTTCCCCATCGCAATAACCGCCAGTTTAATGGCCAATTCCCCATGGTGAGCATGAGCCAAGACATATAGGAACAAGCAAGCAAGCAGCTTCCAGTTCAGCTGGTCATCCAGTTAGTGGGCAGTTGAGCTGTAACTGGGACTGACTGCTAACTGAAACCAGTTAAAAGTGGAATCAACTGGGACCATGCAGTCAAGTTGAACTGGAACCAGTTGCAACTGGAATCAACTGGGACCAGTTAAGTTAAACTGGTACCAGTTGCTAACTGGAATTAGTTTCAACTGGTATCAATTGGGAACAGGTAGTTCCCAACTGGACCACTTGCTAACTGGAACCAGTTTCAACTGGAATCGACTGGAACCAGTTAGTTTCTAACTGGGACCAGCTGATACCAGGTAGTACCAGTTGAAACCAGCAAGATTCCCGGTACACATTTTCACCTGGTAAGTTTATCAGGAACAGGTGTCTGTTAGATACAAATATAATGCATAGCTTTAATGCTTCCTCATGACAGGCGAAACAACCGATATCTTATTGCGGGAATTTACACGCTTCTTTTGTCTTTCGTCGGGCGAGTGTGTTCTCATCAGTGTCGCGCATCGACGCGGCACGCAGGCATTCCTCTGCTGGGGAAACGCAGTAACCTGCATGCTTTACAAACACACGCTTCCTGTATACTGGCTTCACGGCCTTGCCGCGGTGGTGTAGTGGCTAAGGTACTCGGTTGCTGACCCGCAGGTTGCGGGATCGAATACCAGTTGCGGCGGCTGCATTTTCGATGGAGGGGAAAATGCTGTAGGCCCGTGTGCTCAGATTTGGGTGCACGTCAAAAAACCCATGCGGTAGAAATTTCCGGAGCCCTTCATTACGGCGTCTCTCATAAAAATATGATGGTTTTGAGACTTTGAACACCACATATCAATCAACCTTTCAGGCTTTGCATTAACTCAATTCGATACGGTGGATAAAAAAAACATGTACACAAAAGACATAGTTTAAACTCGTTTTCACAGCACGGAAGTCCATTCAGGCGAGGAATGTAAAAAAAACAAAAACATTTTTTATATCAGCCCAAGGAGCCAACCATGTACATTGTAAGCTCAATAAGTAGTAACAGCATATGCAGATCCGCTCTAAAAAGAAGGCAAAAAAAAAGTCAAGCACGATGGGAAACAACGTTGTGAGTCATGTCCATCACTGCTGCACTGTTGCCCACAATCCAAACCACGCTGTTGCCGTCCCGCGGTGTTTCTTATGAACCACTCTCATCTCGCGTTGTCCCAGTCGGGGGTCCTCAAGCATGACGCTCTGCACCGGGTTGCAACGCGGTGGTTGCGGCCTCCCGAAGTTCTTCTTTGATTTTCATCAAGTTTAGTTGAACCAATGGTTCTTGCTCTTCGTCCAGCAATTGGTTGACCAGGCGCCCAAACCGATGCCAAAGTCTCGCTTCTTGTTCCTTCAACATATTCTTGTAAGTCTCCACGACATGATGATTGTACGAGTACGTTTGGCTTGGCACGTCTGGATTCACCGGACGCCAGCTGTCGCCTTCGGTTGAAGGGCCGGCGATGGGGAAACCATCCGGGGGACAGCTTTGTGTTCCATGGCTTTTTGGCCACAGTGCTTGAATGTTGCCTGATGCGTCGCTCGAAGGCATCGCTGCTGTCATGTCACCGCATGGCGAATGGTATATCTCACCAGCTACTGTTGATAAAGGTAATGAAGTTTCTGTGAAATTGACACGCGGTCGTTTCACGGCCGATTGTGGAATTTCCATTATAGGGGCCACTGTAGAAGTAGGGGTAATCAGGAACATCTTATCAGTTGGTATTTCGTCCGGGAGGCCTGGAGGATCCCATTGCGCTGCACGCTTACGACTTCCGGGATCCATGTCGCACTGGTGTCGCAAAACTGCAGTGGTTTGTAGACGTTGTGCCTTCAAGGCAGTTGAATAACTGACACGCTCGGTGATGTCCACGGGAAAAGTGGTGCAACGTCTGGTAACGACTTCCACGCACAGAAAGCATTCAGCACGTGCACGTCGTCGTTGTCGTATTATGCACTCGGCTCTTCCTTTTCCTTCAAATCATCGTGTCCCTCCGTAGATATGCTGTCTCATAAAATCATATCCATCATCACTTGTGTTTTACATAATATGGGGCGACGTTCTTTTGGAACCCTCGTAAAAAAAGCTTTCTTTTTTATTAGGATGCTGTCATATAAGTGGCAGCGTCTTCTGCGTCGCGCGGCGTGGCAGCCAGCGCCCCACAAAGAGCAGCCCCACACATATGGAGGAAGGAGTTTTTCCTTCCTCCATGATGCCCACACAGAAGTGGCTTCTGCGCCGCGTAAAAGTGACGTCACTTTAAAATTATTACTTTTAAAAATTATTACTTTTTAAAATGTGTAAATTATTAAAGTATAATGCGTTAAACCTACAAAAATTTTATTAGGCAGGGGTTTGACGAGTCAAACAGCTTGTAATTGTTAATTAAACAGATATTACAAGTATTTTAAATACAGAGGGCACCATGGGCGCTGCGGCTGCGAAAGGTAAACAGTGCGACATAATGACGGTAAACACTTTGAGATGTTCGGTGTTATCGACTGAGCACCGCGGTAATGTTCCATTCGTCTATCAGTATGCAAACACTGCGACGTCGCAGGAACTATCGAAAGCGGCAGCGACTTGCACTTGAATCACGGTTTATAACACACTCCACGCAACGGGACTTCGTCCCCACGGGCAGAAGCAGTACCAGAGCCTCCTAGATTTTCTTTGCCTGCCGGATTATCGGCAGTCACATGGAAAGCAGCCGTCGTCGGAACTGCGGTGGTGGCGCTACTTAAGTAGGGTTGTCTTTAAATAAGTTTTTACGTTTTTGGAGCTTATATGCAACAAAAACAACGTAAAAAAGTTTTAAAAAGGCGTAAAGGTAATTATTATTAACACATCGTAAGTGACGCTGCCATAGAGGACAGGCGTTTTGCGCTCATTCAGCAGGCAACCCCTTCAATACAAGGCGTAGCCTCTGACTGAAATTAGAAAACGCCAAAATTGCTAATCCCAAAGGCCTAGTACAAAGACACTTATTTCTACGCATATATATATATATATATATATATATATATATATATATATATATATATATATATATATATAACATCCACCCACGGAGAAACCACCACAGCATACTTTTAATATAGCTGTTACTACCATAGAGTTTCTAGAAAGCTACTGAGAAACTCCACAACCTGAACCGACAAAAAAAAAATCTATAAACTAAACGTTTTTCACGCCACCTAATAATGCACTTCTAGTCAAGTCAAGTTAGTTTTAAGCGGCTATATGGGTGAATGAAGTGCTTTTCCCCTCAAAACGCTTGGTTCACCAGGAGGCAGCAACACCGGCTCAATGAAATTGTCTGAAACTTGGTATGTCAAGACCCAATCAGAGGTCAACGAATTTTATTTTTACCGATTAGGAACTACTCGAGGACTTAATTGTTGCTATCAAAATTTATGGCAACCAAGAAAGGTGCAAGAGTTTTCAACTTGCATCACCAGCTGCATTTT